ATCGTTGTGATTCTGTTCAGCAAGTCTGGGCTGGGGCCTCTGGTCAATAAGCCTGCTGACTCTTGCACCAAGTATGAAACTGAAGTTGCTGAGAGGCCAAGCTGGGGGCCGCACCCACCCTTCAGATCCATGTGCTCGGTATCTGTTTGCTGGTTGCTGGGTCCCCATGCCGTGCTTGGGAAAGTGCAAACGGCACAGCCTGCACCCTGAGCTGGGAGCCAGAGGCTCTGGGGCTGGTCAGCCAAGGGGCCAGCTGGAATTTTATCCCGCGGCATGGAGGCATTCCAGCGCTCTCTATCAGCACACTGGACCTGGGCTGGGTGTGGGCGGCTCCCATGGGCCCCAGCCGTGAGCTCCTGGCCGGCACTGCGGCCAACTCACTTGGGTAAAGAAACACACAGAGGCTTTCAGGATGCAGCCAACTTTACTGAAGATCTGGAGACATGGTGGGGGTTTACATAGCAAAAATACAAAAAATCCATGAGCTTAAGGAGACTCAGTCACTTCCACCTTCTATGAAGGGCCTGGGCCACCGCGCCCCACCCTTCCTTAGGAGGTAAAACAAAAGTCAATTTCTTGACAGCTTCTGAGAGTTCAGCCCACTCCCTCTAGACCTTCCCCAGCAGCCACAAAGTTAGCTTCCCCATAAATAACGCGTCTCTCTTCAGTCCCGAGAGCCACGTGAGGGTGACAGATGGACTGGCGACACCATGAGACTGGAGGCTTCTCCTCAACGTCTCTGAGGAACACCAGGGCACAGCTTTTGTTCTCACCTTTAAAAAAATAAGTGTGTGTGTCTCCCGGAGACACCGTTTCTCCCTTATGCTGGGGATGGAGCCCAGGGCCTCGTGTCTGTGAGCCCTGTATCACTTAGCCCCGCCCCCCTCTCTCCCTCTCCGATAACCCAGGGCCTTTACTGCTGGGCTACATCCCCACCCCTTTCTACTTTTTACTCTGAGACAGGGTCTTGCTAAGTTGCTCAGGTGAGGCTTGAACTTGTAGTCCTCCTGCTTCAGCCTCCCAAGCAGCTGGGATGCACACTACGTTGTGACATGCTCTGAGCGGTGCGAGCTGGGCGTGGCATGGCTCCTTCACAAGTTTTTTTTTTTTGTCTTTTTGAGGCCAGGGTCTCATTATGCAGTTTAGGCTGGCCTTGAGCTCACTTTGTAGCTCAGGCTGGTCTTGAACTCTCAATGATCCTCCTGCCTCAGCCTCCCGAGCGCTGGGATTACAGGTGTGCGCCACCACGCCCAGCTTCCTTCCCATGGTTTTTTTTGCTGTTGTTTTGTTTTTTTCCGGTACTAGAAATCGAACTCACAACCTCACACTTGCCAGGCAGGCGGCGTGCCGCTGAGCTAAATCCCCAGCTCCCCTTCCCACGTTTTATCTGCTCTTCCCGACAGGACCTCAGACAGGACTCTGAGGTCCCGGTTCACCGAAGTTTGTGAAAGTTGCAGGAGGGGGAGCCAGCTGCTCCGGGTCACGTGACTCCGGCGAGGCTGACTCCGGCCTGGGTTAGCTGGGCTAAGCTCTCAAGCACACCTTCCGTGGACTTAGGTCTTTGGGGAAAAGCTCGTTTTCATTTTTACAGCTCCTGTAAGAAGGGGTCAGGCGCGGTGACCACTTCTGCTGCCCACCTCTGCACCCTCGCATCCTCCATGCCTGGTGGCCAAGTGGGGGGTGGGCACCTCCGCTGGCCTCGGGTGCACCCTCCGCCACACCCCGCCTCGCCCGCCAGCCTCCCCCACCCACCGCTCCCCAGCTCCGAACCCAATCTGTGAGAGGAAGCAGGTCTTCGAGGGCCAAGCGCACACACCGGGGCAGCCCCTCCCGCTCCGCTGGCCACCCGCACGCCCCCTGGTGGGCTTTGTCAGGACCCCTTCGCAGCCCCTGCTAGCTCACTGGCACACTCTGCTCGGCTGCCCTCGCACTCGCAAGGCACTGACCCGTCTCCCTCCCGGTTTCCGGCTGAGGACACTGCCAGCCCTAGACCGTACCCGGAGGACCAGGGGCTGAGATCTCGTCCTCACTGCCCAGGCACCGCAGCCCCCGGAAGCCGAGCTGGGCCCAGCAGGGCAGGGAACCCGCTGCACAGCCCCTCACTCCTCTAGTCCATGGCAGCTCAGGTCCCAGGTACTCGCTACGGTGTGTGACACTCCTCCAGGCCCTCCCTTCACACCAGGGCAGTCCCTCCTTAGCAGAGGGCACACAGGGTCGCGCCCGGGCTGCGCTCCCTGCTTCTCTTGCCCACCAAGGTGCTGGCCGGGGCACCACTGCCCCTGGGACTCACTCACTCCTACTCCAGACTCAGCAGCCTCCTCTCAACGCCTGGGACGCATCTGTTCCCCACCGGCCCGCAGGACCTGCTGTTCCTCCAGCTCCGGAGCTGCCTCCTCTTGCCCTTCAAGAACCAGGGCTGTCCCCAGCAGTGGCCCGCCCAGTCACAGCCTCCACAGCTCTCCCCCGCACCCCGACTTGCAATCTCTTTCTTTATCAAGCGCAAGCGCAACAGGGAGCTGGGCCGTCTGCTCACTGACGACCCCAGCCCGGGGCAGAGCTCGGGTGAAGCGCTTGCAAAGTGAATGAACAAATGCACTGACACCCCAAGTGCGTTAGCTCAGCCTCAGCACCTCTCTCTTCATACAGGGGGCTCTGGGGTGCACCCCTGTAGCTCCCAGCACTCGGGAAACTGAGGCACGAGGATTGCTTGAGCCCAGGTATTTGAGGTCAGCCTGGGTCACAGAGCAAGAGACTGATTCAAGAAAAAGATAAAGAAGAAAAAGAAACTGGTGCGAGAGAATCGGAATGCCCATGGCTTCCCTTAGGGCCATGAAGCGGCGCGGCCGCGGTGAACGAGTACCTTCACCCAAGGGTGGGCTTGGCTCAGCCTTCCACAGAAGAGGTGATTGCTCGTGGCTTTTTTGGTGCCACAGATTGAACCCCGTACCTCATGCATGCTAGGCAACCTCTACCCTGAACGACATCCCCAGCTCTTACTCTGACAGACAGCGCCTTGCCGAATTGCCCAGACTGGCCTTGAACTTGCTACCCTCCTGCCAAGGGGCCCACACACGCTCCAGGGCTACGCGCAGGTGTACAGTGCTGGGGCCGCCTACCCCTCCACTGTCTCCCCATCCCAAGCCCCCGCCCCATCTCCACCTGCATCTACCTTTTATCTTGCTTTTTAAACTCTTTACATTGGGCAGGGGGAACCTGTACACTCTGGGTTTCCCCACAAGGGAAAGCATGTGCTGTTGGAGCTCGCGTGTCGGGCTGTCCTGTCTTTCAGGGAGAGCTGGGCCTCCCTGCACCACGCGGTTATAAGAGGGCGGGAGGCCTAATTCCAGTCCTGACCCAGGAAGGGGCTGGTGACACTGCTTCGTGGTGGGGAGTCGGTGCTGGGCGGGGAACAGAGGGGGACCAGGTGGCTTTGATTCTCTCCCCATCCGGGCCGGACGCTAGCCGGGTTCCTCTCCTTAGCTTATCTAACCGTTGCTGAGAATGCGGCTCAGGGTCACGTGCTCGCCTGGCATGTGCAAAGCCCCGGGTTCCATTTCCAGCAGTGCACGCACGCACACACATGTGCACGCACACATGTACATGCACACACGCTGCCCATCCTTTAAAGCCAGCTCTGCTTAAGGGCTACCGCTTCTCCGAGTCCTCCATACCCTGGGCTCTCCTGTCTTTGTCCCCCGGCTGCTTTGAGGCTGTGCCCACCCATCTGACAGCTTCCCAACCCGGCGCCATAGTTAGACCACATGTGCCAAGTGCTAATATCACTATTTACTGACCACACAGGTGTGCTCAGCACCACTCTAGGCACTGTACACACACGAGGTAGGTTCTTCTCATGCCCATTTTACAGATGGGGAAACTGAGGCACTGGGAATTTAAGTAGCTTGTCCCAAGTTGTCCCTGAATTGGTAGGCAGGCTAACTCCAGAGCTGCTACTCCTAACACCACTTTGGAGAACCCCTCAATGCTGCTGTAAACAGGATCTCCTGGAGAGGTCTGACCTGGCTCCCTTCGCTGCAAGCTGCTAGGATGTGGTTCCTGTCAGGGAGGGCAGCACCCAGCCAGGAGGTGGCAGCAAGGAGCCACACACAGGCCCTGCTGAGGGAGGCGCAGGAGCTGTTCAGGGCAGGCGTGTTAGACACGTCACAGGCTGCCTGGCTCCTCCTCGGCACCCTTTCCACTCTGCACAGAGGAAAGGGGGCTACGGCTCAGACCGTGCGATGTTTGCTAAGGTCAGGAGGCTACAAATACTACACGTGACACTAGGGTGGCCTAAACCCAAGCCACAGTTCTCTAGGGAGACACAACCCAGGGAGCCCTTGCAGGGTCTACCAGGCAGGGTTCGTACCACCGCTCCTTCCCCATCCCCAGAGAGCACCGAAACCACCTGGCCCGGAGCAAGCGGGCCATCGGGGCTGCACCCCTCAGCAGGGAGGGGCGTGTGGACTCAGACCCGAAGGCCTGGGTGGGTCTCGGGGAGCAGCACCCACTGAACATGCCAGGCCCACTGCCAGGCCCTCAGCACAGATGCGAAGGCCACGGGATGGAAACAACTCGCCCTCCCCACTTTGACTGGAGCCGGCCTCAGCTGCAGTCATGGCGAAGCCGGCCAGCCACGGCTCCGTGACCACTGCAGCGAGACGAGAACCATCTAAAGGGCTCCTGCAGCGCCCTTTCCGACAGCCATCCCGTCCACACCGCAAGTCCCAGCCCCAGCGGGCTGACACTCGGCAGCAGCTGCAGGACAAGCCGCCCGGGCACGGCGCTGTCCGGGGCCTCCCACGTGGCCGATGGCTCAAGGCGGCAGTGCAGGGACCACCAGGCCGCAGGCTTCAGAGTCCGGCGGTGCTCCTGGCTGAGGGCCCTGGGGCGCCGGCCTTGGGACAGCCTGGCGTGTCTGCCGGTGTGTCCGGCCTGCCCCCACACTGCCTGGCTCCCCTCGTCCCTCCAGGGCTCACGCGGCGAGACAGGCCCTCTGCACATGCACAACACCTCGGGTTTATTGGGGGCGGGGCAGAGCAGGCGCAGGCAGCGCGCCCCTGGCAGTCAGGCCAGCTCCACTCCGCGGTCTTGGCACTTGCGGGGGCCGCCCTGTGGGTCCCCTCCCACGTCCCAGTTCCTGCACACGTCTCTCCCCCGCCCTGCTCCCGCAGTCTCTCATTCCTTCACCAGCCGGTAGATGTGGTGCTGCGCGCCGTGCTCGCTGGCCGACACCTCGAAGACGTACGCAATGCACAGCAGGGTCTCCTGCGTGTCTCTGTTGGTGACCACCTGCAGGTGAGACGACGACGGTGAAGCCCCTGAACGGAGGTGTTGGTGGCACCCCCGGGACCTGGGCCCACCCCCTGCGGGCACCTGCAGGATGGTGAAGTTCTCCAGCACGCTGTTCATCATGTACTTCTCGGGCAGGTGCTTCAGCTTGTGGATGAAGTTGATCATGTACTCGCAGAGCGGGGAGCGGTGGATGCGGTACGAGTAGCGGCCGTTCTCGTAGCGAGCGTACTCTGTCTGCAGACCCAGGGGACAGCGGGGCTCAGAATCCCCGCGCCTCCAGCCCAGGCCCAGCTCTGCGGGAAGCTCCGTGACCAGGGCACTGCCACACAGGAAGAAAAGGCAGGAGGCGGGAGGCCCAGGGGCGGAGCCAGTCTCCGAGGTGGGTGGGCAGCAAGCTAGGCCTCTCCTGGCAGCCACGGGCACACGCTGGGTACCAGGGGAACAGAGCTTAGAGATGCAGCGATGAAGGCAATGGATGAGATGTGACAGGCGCTTCTCAATTCTGGCTGTGCCTTAGGGTAACACGGGCAGAGACCCCCATGTACACACACACACACACACACACACACACATACACTGGTGAAATCTGAACCAGACCAGCCGATTGTATCAAAGCAGATTTCCCAGTTGCTAATGTTGTTCTCCACTTGTGCAGGATGCTGCCGGGGCGGGCGCAGGGTGGAGGGCACATGGATTACAACAGCGGTTCCACAGAAACACACAGACAGACACAGGATTAAGTAATCTGAGGAGCTCGGTAAGGTACAGGCTCAGCGTGCATGAGGCCTGAGTTCAACTCTGAGCACCGAAATAAAGAGAAGAGAAACTGCTGCTGCCTAGATTCACCCACGAGAAGACAAAGCGGCCAGGTGAGGTCAAGCGCCTCCAGGACATCCCTGGGAAACAGGAAGTCTCTTCCCTGGCCCTGGCTGGGCCCCTGGCTAACAGGTGGATGTGAGAACTGGCCTCTGTTATTCAGACAATGTGGGGAAAGAGGTGAGCACGGGGACACAGACCCAAGGTGTTCTGGGACGCAGGCGTTCGGCCCCCCATCCTCTCGCTGTCCCTGCACAGGGCACCAGAGCATCAGCACTCCCGGGCCCATGTGACCGGGCAGCGAGGACCACTCCTGCTCACCGAGCAACACGCAGGGTTTCTTCACACCTCAAGGCCGCCCCTGGCCAGCGTGCTCAGGAGACCCTGGAAACTGCTGCCCAATAGGAACCTAATTATTTTGTCCCTTCTACTAGTGTGGGTCTCCTGGGTACTAAAAAAATCTGAAAGAGGGGACACAGTGTTGGCCATTTGTGGAGTAAAGCGGGGGCAGGGAGCAGAGGTCCTGGAGACCTCCAGCCTCACTACCCCGGGGAGCTTCTCGCCAGGCGGACTCGGCTCAGCTCCCAGGCCGCCAATGCAGCGGCCCTGCCCTAGGACAGGACGCGGTGTGCGGAGTCCTGTTGGCGGGGGTTAGGCAGGCAGTGCTCTCCCCGGCGTCTGAGCTCTCAGAAGGCCTTCCACTGAGTGTGCGTGGAAGGTGCCGCCTCCAGCAGGGCTGCTCTGGGGATGCCCAAGGAGCCCCACCCGCGCCCGGGCCAGCCTCGTACCTCCACTTTCTCTACCACCTGCTTGCCGAATGAGCACACCTTGGTGGAGCAGGTGATGATCATGTTCTCGGGGCTCTCGTACTGGCTGGAGACCCCGTAGAAGGAGCTGCCTTCGTCCTCGATGTTGGTGTTGAGATCTGCCTGCGGGGAGGGGAACAGGAGGCTGAGGGCGCGGTGAGCACAGGCTGAGTCTCACAGCGCAGACTCGGGCTGGAAAGAAACCCGGAGCAAGCAGAGCTCGGAGACCGAAAGCTTCGCCGCTCTTATCCTCACGCCCAGGCCCTGTGTGAAGTCGGGCTGTGCCTCTGACACGACAGAGAGCCCTAGGGTTGCTTCGATTCCAGGCCACTACTGTCCGGCGCTCGGACGCCAACGTCACTAGCAAGCAGGCCTCTAGGTCTTTGAATTTTATAGTCTGACTTTGTTTTAGTCAGCTGCAGATATGTAAATCCTCATCAGTATGAACCTCTCAGACCCTTTCCAGAGTCAGTTCTGATAATGAAGAAAGCACGAGGGCAGAAAACCAGGGCAGAGAGAAGCCTGGTACTCCTCACGGTCCCGTCCTCTTATTGGTGCATCACCAGCCCTGCCGGGGTTCTTTCAGAAACGCTCTGACCGCGGGGTTCGGCCACACTTGATGTTTTTCCCCATCAGTCTCAGCCTCCAAACCCACTTCCCCAACGCGTCTGCCCTCCCTCTGTTTGTGGCTCTAAGAGTTCTTTACAAAAACCAAGTCTGAAGGCATCATCACCCTGTAGCCCCGACTGCCTCACGGAGCCCTTCTGCCACAGGGGCGTGAGTCCCAGTGCCCGCCCGGCTCAAAGGGCCCTTCATCAGCCCTGCAGCTGCCTCTGTCCTCAGCTCCTCGCAGGCCCCAGATGCGCTGCTTTCTTCTCCTGCTGCTGGATATTGGGATGATCTGAAATTTATTTATCTCCCTCTCGGCATAGGTAGAATAACGCTCCCAACCCCATAAAGGTGCCCCAGCCTCAGACACAGCGAGATTCCTGGACTCAGGTCAGCCTTGCCCAAGGCCACACTGCTTTAGTGACACGGCCAGGTCTGCAGGCTCCAAGCCCAATCTCATCCCAACCCAGCAGAGGGAAGGCTCTGGGTGAACCATCTGGCTGCCTTGGGGACTCCTAAGCTGGAATCGCATTTCTTTGGTGCTTGTGCCGCTGAGCTACATCCCCAGCCCCAGAATCGCAATTCTGAACCCCTCAGCCATTTAGGGGTCCCATCCCCAGGACTTGGGCTCCACGTCAAATCACACCCTGTCTGCACCAAGGTTGCTAACAGCAGCTTAAGACTCAGAAAAATGCACATCGAACAAAAGGCCGATTCTTAGGAGAGGCCTCTCACCCGCCCACACAAATGGTCTGAAATCACTACTATGCTGGCACCAGAGCGCAACCTGTGAATGAGGGGGAGCTGCAGGCTGTGACCGAGGTTCTTGACACCAACAGCTCTTCTGCTCAGAGATAAGGGGGTTCTCAGACCCCCAAGAAGGTTGATATCCAGGCAAGGCAGTTCCGTTGCTGGCCACTAGGGGATGCACAAACACCATTTTGCTCTCCTTTGAGAAGTTTTCCTGGAACAAGACCTTTCCATACACAAGAGGCTGTTAACTGTCTTACGGAACAATTGAAATATTATGCGGCCACATGAAATGCTGAGAAGAATCTGCACTTATCATTATGGGTTAATACCAAAGGACTGGGGCCAGCTGTGGTGGTAATCCCAGCACTCAGGAGGCTGAGGCAGGAAGATTGCTGAGTTCAAGGCCACCCTGGGCTACATAGTGAGTCCCAGGCTAGTCTGAAGTACATAGTGAGACCCTGTCTCCAAAAACCAAAACAAACAAACAACATACTGAATGAAGACGGTAGGATGGGGAATAGAACTAGGGCGATTATTTTAGGATGTTTTCATGCTGAAATAGGATGGCACCTGGTTCAGTGTGTTCTGCATTGGCTTTAACGAGACTGTGGGAGGCAAGAAGAAAAATAGAATTGCAGCAGCATCCAAGCCAAAGCCCAGCCTCTGGAACAGCCATGCTCCACGCCTACCCCAGGTTGGTCGGAGCTCCCCTCTGACCCCACTGCCACTCTTCAAGGAGGGTCTGAGGCAGGGGCAGTGGCTCAGGCCTCTGTCCAGTCGGAATCCACAGCAGCCGTGGCCCAAGTTCTTCTTAGGAAACAGAAGGTGAGCCAGAAGCCAGGCTTTCTGTCTGCTGGTTTCTGCCACTCGTGTCGTCCTCCGAGGTGACACGTTTGTCGGACGTGGGGTTGGGAACAGTCTGCGTGCTCGGGATGGACAGGCTGCAACCAGCCGTGCAGGGTACAAATGTGGACCGAGGCTGAACGCACGGCAGCAGGAGGCCCGGCTGCCTGGGAGGGGCCCGCTCTGGACACGGGGGCAGCAGGGCAGGAGCCGGGACACCGAATGGTGACGACTCTCGGGCTGTGGCCACCGGTGACCGGTGCTACACTCAGCGACCACCTGCGCCCCTGTGGTCTGCTCACTTTTATTCCTTCAGTCCATATCCATGAAAGCAAAGACGCTGTCTTTCCCAGTATAAGTGAAAAGAAGGGTGTAGTGATTAAGGAAAAAGTGCTGAAGCATGTGCCACCTAGAAAGTCCCGCCTGTCCTCGGAAGACCCGGTGCTGGTCCCTCCTGGGCTCATTCACTCACACAAGGGAGTACTGTCCGCTGTGGTGTGGTAGCCATGTGCACATCCCATTTCATCACCCCATGCTGTTTGTCCAGGTGGGACATTCGCTGAGGGCAAGAAGTGTCTCCCAAGCCATGGGCAGTGCCTACAACAGGGCCCTGCAGTAAGCGCTCACGCGCTGTTCCGCCTCTCACCGCTGGGTGGCGCTGTGCAGGGCATGACCCTACCTACTCACCCGGCAGTCCTCCTGGCCCAGCCCAGCCCGGCCCCCAGATCAAATATAGTCTTCTGTCCTCACCTCCCACTCCCTTGGCCCTTCCGCTCCCTCAGTCACACATTTATCCAGCCCCATCCCGGTACGGATGGGGGAGAGGGTCACAAAGACGTCAAGGTGTTGTTTCTGCTCTCAAGGAAAGTGTGAGTAGGAGAGAGCAGGCAGGACTAGGGGGCGGGTGACACGGGCGGCAGGCGATCCCACCAGGAAGTCAGCCCAGAATCTGCCTGGGCTGCTCCGCACAGACCCGGGCAATGCTGGGCCGTGATGCGGAGGCTGCGCCGAGCACCTCATCCCACCCCGGGTGCCCAACCTCCCGCCACTTCCCACCGCCCTGCAGGCCCCCTCGGCACCCCTGCAACACCCCGCCTTTCTGGCCTTCTCGGCCGAAGTGGAGAGTCTGCTCCCACCCCCACATGCTGCCCTCCGAATGCCCCCTCCCTCCACCCTATTCATAGCTGTTCAGGAGTGGGCAGCTCTCGGCCGGCCTGGAACAGGTGTGGGAGATCGGGTAACTGACAGATGAGCCCGGACAGCTGCAGCTAGGGTGTGGGGGCCCCAGGGGCTCAGATTCATTGTCATGTGCTGGTATGTGCCTGGGAGAAATGTCAGGCCTGGAGGGCCTGACCCGCAGGCTGGGGTGGCAGGAAGGCCTGGGGTGAGCTTCTGCCGCCACGGTTCAGCTCAGGCCCTGCCCAGCACTCCCCCCACACCCAGCCAGTACTGGGGATTGAACCCATCGTGCATGCCAGGTGCCAGGCAGAAGATCTTCCGCTGAGTTACATCCCCAGCTCTTTTACTTTTAGTTAGACAAGGTCTAGCTAAGTTGCCCAGGCAGGCCTTGAACTTGCAGCTGTCCTGCCTTAGCCTCTGGAGCAGCTGCGACTGCAGGCGTGAGCCGGGACCCTGCCCAGCACTCTCAGTATGCAGCCTGGTGTTGATGGCCCCTAACGTCTGAGGATCCCCTCTCCTACCCTGGAAAACGAGCTCTCCGGTCACACAGCTCAAGGGCACGGGTGGGGGGCAGCCGTCCCCAAACCTGGGCTCCGGTACTCACAGACAGAGCCCGGCATAGCGACTCCAGCACCCCGCTCCACACACAGAGGCCATTTCCGGCAGGGCGCAAGGCAGGACTGCTACCTCGATCTGATCAGAGGACAGTAACTTTCAGGGGGACAGAGGCAGAAGCCTGCTCCAGGGCCATGGAAGTGGCACCCCTACTCTCCGGGGGTTCTGACCAACTCAGCAGTCCCTGGGAGCCCACACGGGGGGGACTGCAGGGGAGGGGAGGGGCGGGCCCGGCTGACCCAGACACACGGTCAGCAACACGCGTGTTTCTCTCTGTCACACGCTCATCTCCTTGCACGGACACGTGATGGGTGTCAGAAAGGGGGCACTGGCCCGACAGGCCCTCGTGTTCTCTTTCACATGGCCAACTGTGCCCACTGCGGGCACTCAGGGCTCCGCCTGCTCTTGGCTCGAGGAGGCGGGGCAAGCCCTCCCCGCCGCTGCCAGCGCAGGGCCCCAGCCCTCGTGTGCCTCAAGGAAAGATGGCGACAGAGGCACACAGAAGCCGAGATTCCCCAGGACCCAGCTCTGAAATGGGCTGAGTGGGTGGGCCACTTGTCCCCACACCATGCACACTGCCCCAGGGCCGCTCCGGGAAGACGCAATTGTGCTGGCTACGGGCACCGGGCAGCGCCAAGCAAAGTGCGCTTGTGACGCTGGCCTAATCGGCTCCCCCAGCACAGGTGTCCGACCCTCTTGCTATGGATCCCCACCTGCAGGTTCCCTAGGGGACAGCGGAAGACAGCAGGTGCCACAAGCGAGGTGGGAAGGGGCATCTAGCTCCTCATTCCCACCTGCTGTCTTCATGCTTCCCAGCAAGACAGCATCCTCCTCATCCTCCGGAAGTGAGGTCCAGAACACGCCGGGGGCCCAGCCGCCCACACCGGGAATGGACGTGGGTTCAGGGCGGCCTGCTGTCCCCACGCTGCCCATCCGCCGACCAGAGGCCTTTTCGGATAACCCAGAACCTGCCCCCGGCGCAGGAGAGGCACTGACACTGCTCAGAGCAAGGCAGGGCGGGTTAAGTGCCACAGACCCAGGCTTGCGCCAGGAGCCAGGTGGCTAGAGTCCAGGCTCGGGCTGCACACTACACAGAACTAGGTAAAATTCGGCAAGTCACTTAC